ATTTTACACATCCATGCATTAAAATTTTGAGGGTTACAAATAAATACATTTCACTTATTTTTTTTCTCCTTATCTTAGAATGATATTGATTCATATATATTTTTCTTTATAAGACTATAGTTGAAACTATCAAAAGAAGAAATTGATCATGTCTAAAAAGAAAATTTTCAATAAAATTAGAAAATATTATGGGATAAATTTAATAATTAATGTTATCATTCATTAGTGTTATCATTCACTAATTCCAAGGTATACTAAGTAATAATAATAAAAAATCAAACATTGATAATCCTGTTTAAATTTGTGAATCTCGAACTATGATTAGGGTTGGGATTGATTGTCGTGGCGGTTCGCCGAAGAAATACATGAATAAATCGAATATATCGGAATGAGAAAGATTTGAGGGATGTATAAGTATGAGACTATATGGTCTAAAATAACTTAGAAGAATTAATTGAGTTAATCATACCAACAAGGCGCACATACTTTTTCAGTTGACTATACAAAAAAAACTCTAAAGTTAACTGTGTTGGTTTTGGAGCAATCTAATGATGAGTGACCTATTGGAAAATATCTCGGTATGCATGCGAGTAAAGATAAAACACGTTCAAAGGTCTCGTGTTGATATGCGGGGCAGTTTCAACGTTTCGTAGTAGTTTCGGGTCGTTATAAATGGTGTCAAAATCAGTACTCTCCTAATACGGTGTGGTTCGAGGACGAACTAGGTGTAAGTTGGTGGACATGTGATATCTCGGTATATGATGAAGGTTGGGAGTGATTGTCTTGGTGGCTCCTCGAGTACCACTAGATCGGATGGTTAAAGGAATGAATCGAACGCATTGAAACGAGAAGTACGGGGATTCTATAGGTATGAGACTATTTGGTTTAAGATAATTTAAAAGAATTAATTGAGTTACTCATACCAATAAGATGTACCTACCTTTTTGACTGACTATCTCGAGAAAACTTTAAAGTTAAGTGTGATAGTTCTGGAGCAATCTAATAGTGAGTGATTTATTGGAAAATATCTCAATATGTGTGCGAGTCAAGATAAACACGCTAAAAGGTCTTGTGTTGGTGAGTGAAGACAGTTTTAACGTTTTGTATCGGTCTCGAATCGCTACAAAAATTGAGTCAAATCCTGATAACAAAGAAATCTATTTGTAATTAATTACACTTTTATATTAAGATCTTTTTAATAAAATAGAATTCATATTAATAATAATCATCAAGTTTAATTTTTAAGACAAATGCAGAAAAAATCTCAAACTTTACAACTTACTAAAATAAAATTTTATACTTAAATTTATTTATTTTAAACTCTAAACTATATAAAAGTAAAAATAACCATAAGCATATTGAAACAGACGGATATTAAATAGTAAAAAAGATATATTATTCATTTATATTTAAATTTATATGTTATTCAAAGATGAGATAATTGGAAATAGTTATATACGTTTGGATTATAAAAATCATTTGTTTAAATTTAATTTAAAACAAATCCAATGTTGTTTATAAAGAGATAATCGGAGATAAAAAAAAATATATGTTCAAAAGATTGAAATATGAGAGATAATATTATCTTCTCTTCAGCTTTGTTTGAAAAAAAAAATATAGAGATTATTTATTCCGGTAGTGGTTTTGTACTTTACATCATTTTAGAGGCATTATCTTAAATTTTGGTTTTGTTCTTGCATTCATTTTCATTGCATTATTTTCTACTTATAATGTCGAGAGATCTTGACCATTTCCATTTATAATATCACGAGATCCAAACCGATAATCTTGATAAGGTTCAAATAATAGATGTACCCAAATCTGGATAGTTCAATCGGTGAAATAGAGGCGTGAAAAGTCTGTCTAGTCTCGAGTTCAAATCTCAAGTTTGGGAAAGCCTATAATCTAAATCACATGGCTAGCTCCCAGTTTCTGAACTAGTCATGAGTCTTAGTCCATGATATCCGATTACCCAAAAAATAAAATTAGATATTATTTTTCAGATTAGTTTTTTGTATTTACCTATTTAGCTTTTAAAAAATATGCATATTCGGTTTTGACATTTTTTATTTGGTCCATTTTCTATCCAGAATCTCATTAGATCAAATGTTCATTTTTAAACAAATATTTTATGTTATTCTTCCACATTTTGATTCGAATTCTGTTATTTTGATTTGTGAACGGATATACGCAATTGGTTTCTATTCTAGTTTGCTTGTATATATTATTTAGTTCGATTTGTTTTTATTTGTATATGCAAACTTAAACGTAGACAAAAAAAATCATAATCTTTTTAAATATAAAGGTTTAATATTTGCTTCCAAAGTTATCCATAATATATATATATATATATAAATGCTAATTTGGAAGATTATTAGATTATAATTTTGGAGATGTTGCAAACGCACATGAGCTGAATATCGTAATCAGAAGAAACTTTCATGCATTCTCCGCCCAAAGGATATTGGGATTCCACACATTTCTTGTTGCAGTCAGGAAACTCTTCGCATCGACCAATCGGAATCCGCCCGCTCACGGGACCATCTCGACCTCTCGCCGCCGCTGCTGAAACATTCATTCCGACAACCAAAAAAAAAAACTATATATATTTAGACTTTGTTGTTAGTATATCTAATTTTTATATAAATAGTAAATTGGATATTATTAACTTGTTTTTGCTTTAGAATGTATATTTTCATAAATCAAAAGCAACAACTTGTATTATTTACCAATTTTATTTTTTGTTTTAAGATGTAAAATTACATCATTTTTTTTTCAAATTTAATGATTGAAAAACAAGTTTTTTTTTTTTTTTTTTTACATACATAAGGTTAGGAGAAGAATAGCCAAGCACGCGAAGAAGAAGCTCTTTGTAGAAGCCATTTTTGTTTTATGTCTTTTTTTTTCCTTTGATGTGGATTGATAAAGTATGGAATTATATAGCAGGATGGTTCCCAAGAGGTTGAATTAATCTTCTTAAATTGATAGATTCTTGTTTATCTAAACTTTATGTATCACTTTCAAAACATATCTCCATTTATTTATTGATGAATCTAGACCAAATACCTAAATATTCCAGGATATCTTCTAGAATAACAAATTTCACACATTTTATCAAAAAAACAAATTTCACACACTTTTTTTTTCCTGATAATTCTCCAAAACCACTCTCAAAATTATTTATTATTTAAAATTTTTGTTGATTCTGATTTTTAATATTATAAATATGTGTATGTAGTTGAATTCTTAGATATTCTGATTACCATGCAAAGTGTAGTTTCACAAGAAAATATGGGCAGAGAGAGATCATGACAAACATTTCAAAACAAAGAAATCTAATGTCATTTTTTAAATATATATATATATATATATATATGTGTGTGTGTGGGTTTGAATATATTAATAGAATATAAATTCATCGAAAATGTATAGTAACAAGCGCAGTTAAAGAAACTCCAAACCAAATGGGGAAAAAAGAAGCAATGTTGAGTCAATGAAAAACAGACAAGGCTTTTAATATTACTTTGAACGTTAGATGACAGTTCAATGCTTATGTGTAGCTCAGCTCTTTTGTCGGCGTTGGTCAGTCCTGTAATGGAATTTCAAATGTTTATATAATGATTACATTAATGAAATTATAATAATATTTTAATTTAATGGTTATCATTTCCATTGTTAATTACCCTAGAGATCCCATTTAGGTTTTCAAGTAGGACTTCGAACGTAGAACCCAAAACATTAGCAGTGTGATCAAGGATCAGTGTAGCGGACGATTACTACGTACTGTTACTTGTGTATTATCTATAGTTAGAAATTTTTGCCCCAATGGATGTAAAGAATGTATCTATAACTATACAAATTTGAATAGTTTAACCGATAAAATGAGGTACAAAACATTTATAACTCAAATTTGGAGAGATAACGTATAATCCAAATCATATGATTAGCTCACGATCCCGATATTAGTGTGGATCTTGATTAAGGATATCCGAGCATCCAAAATATGTATCTATATCGTGTTTTAACATTATAATCTATTGTTTTTTTTGTGGGTCAGAATAACAATTTAATCCAATTCACCAATACATTATATCTATATATATATAGAGAGAGAGAAAAGATAATTACATGCAGCGTATTCGACAGAGGCATATTAAAGAGAGACCCAAAGCCCCAACGAACAACCATAAATGACAGTCTCTCAGATCTTTCCGTGAATTCTCTCTCTCGTTCATAGCTGTAAGAATATTGCGTACTTATTGTCTTCCCGAAGCCACATGGTCTGCATGGTCCTACTTAATGCACCTATAGGTATGTTCATATACACATAACACGTATATATCTCTATACATGCGCACCGCTTTGGTTATCATTAATGTTTACACCCAATCCTTGAGTTAAATCTTTCAAGGACAAGTTCTTTTTTTTTTCGGGCAAGTTTCTTAAAACATAATTTACATTAATTTTTTGCCTCATATGATATAATTAATGGCATTAATCAGGTGTAATTTGTTAAAGCAACGCGAATATAGTCGTTGATTAGTCCACTGCCGACGTTGTGATCATTGACCCAAGGGAAACCATGACTCGTGAACGTTATTTTCATCAAAAAATATCTACCAAACATTTCTCCTAACCAACCCATGAAATCGACATAAACCGACCCTTACGTACGTCTGAATCATATCGAATTCGGATATTTGTCTTAATTGGTCCCTAATAACGGCATAAATCGGACCATAAATCTCCATATATATTCGTATTCAAATATCGACGTACTGCGATTTACTATGCAATATATTTTATAATATTATGAAGCATGAATATTGGACAGGTGGAGGGCTCGCTACATCACATGTAAATTCGTTCCAATTTTAAATACAAATCTTTAACTGATGAGATGGTCCAAAACATTCAATTCCATTTCATCTCCCGGATTCAACAGCTGTCCCTCCAAGAAACCCTAGAGCTTCGCCTATATAAACCACATCAAGATCCGACATCCCATTATATACAATATTGCACTTTACATACACGTATACACACACTCACACACACGTATATACACACTCAAACGCCTCGAGAGATGGCAAGGTGGTTCGCGACGTTCCTAGTGGCTCTTGCCGTGGTTCAAGCCGCGGCGGCGGCGAGACCGACGCCCAAGGCCGCTGGTTTCGATGACCAGAAGAACTTCGTCGCGTTCGGAGGCGTCGGAGGCGTAGCCGGAGCAGGAGTCGGCGGCGTCGGCGGTGTTTTGCCCATCGGAGGTGGAGGTATCGGCGGCGGACTAGGAGGCATCGGAGGGGTTGTGCCCATCGGCGACGTCGGTGGTCTCGGCGGCTTAGGCGGTGGTTCCGGCATTGGCGGTCTCGGTGGTGGCGGTCTCGGTGGACTAGGCGGCGTTGGCGGTTTGGGTGGAATCGGCGGCGGTAGCGGCAGCGATTGCGGCGGCGTTCTTCCGCATCCTTGAGAGAATGACGTCATGTTTAGTTTTCTACTACGTATTTACGTGTTATGTTTCAGTGTGTTCAGTTCTGTATTGGTTGCTTTAAGTTCTTTTTTTCTCATAATTAATTAATGTTACGTATTTGTGTGTCGGTTTGTATTTGCATTTGCATATTAATGTATCTTTGTATCGCTTTTTGTGGACAACTAATTAATATAAAGTAATATCAATCCGTGATATTAATTCGCTTCTGAGCCAAGCAATCCGTATATGACCAAAAAGAACATTATTCGTGATATTAATGTATCTCTGTATCGCTTTTTGTGGACAACTAATTAATAAAAACAGGTGGATTAGGTAAAAAACCTTATTATATATATATATATATATATATTAATATTAAAAAGATCTTATCTGTAAATTTGAATCGAATTCATATGCACATTGAATCAGACCTATTTCCATGTGATTTTCATATCCAAGTATGTATAGTGTAAAGTATTATTTCATATATTAGAAAAAGAAAAACTGATGCCCAACAAATATTATAAGCTTGGTCAGGCCTCATTTCAAGGAAATATCTGGTCAACATATTAATGGGCTTTAGGCCCATAAGCCCAACGCAAGCCTTCTCACTATCGAAAATTTTTTATATTTACATAAATAAAATAGAATATTACGTTTCTTCCTCTCAAAGCCAAAAATCTTACAAGAGGAACCCCGAAAAAGAACAGGTTACGAAAGTACTCAAAAGACAGGAAGAAACGAACCAGAGAGAGAAGCCATGGGTCAGGGACCGTCGAGCGGTTTGAATCGGCAAGGAGATCGGAAACCAGATGGCGGAGATAAGAAGGAGAAGAAGTTCGAGCCGGCTGCCCCGCCGGCGCGAGTTGGGAGGAAGCAGCGGAAGCAGAAGGGACCGGAGGCGGCGGCGAGGTTGCCGACGGTCACTCCATCGGCGAAATGTAAGCTCCGGTTGCTGAAGCTCGAGCGGATCAAGGACTATCTGTTGATGGAGGAGGAGTTCGTCGCGAACCAGGAGCGGTTGAAGCCACAGGAGGAGAAGGCCGAGGAGGATAGATCTAAGGTCGACGATCTCCGTGGGACGCCGATGAGTGTCGGAAATCTGGAGGAGTTGATCGATGAAAATCACGCAATCGTTTCTTCGTCGGTTGGTCCGGAGTACTACGTCGGGATTTTGTCGTTTGTTGACAAGGATCAGCTCGAGCCTGGTTGTGCAATTCTGATGCACAATAAGGTACGTCAATTAGGGTTTCTTCGGTGGCTAAATCAAGCCCATTTCTTTTGCTTCGGTAGCGTGGTTTTTGCGTGCTGGACTCTTGTTGCGATTTAGGTTTTTCAAGTCAGTGTGTTAGGGTTTATCTTCATGTTTATCTACTAGTAATTTTGGATGAAGCAAATGGCATTGTTCTGTTTTGATTTCTTAATTGAGATAATCAGTTGGCTGTTGGTATAGTGTGTGCCTTATTTGGCAATGGGGGTGCCCGTACTCCACAATCTGTTTCAATTTCTCTAGTTTTCTCGTGTGGAGTGGAGTAACATGCTGGCGATATTCTCCCTGTTTCATGTATTCTTTTTGCCCCAGTTAAGATGTTCTTTGACGAGACAGTTGTTCTGTGTACTGTCTGGTTATTATGGTGTTTCCTGTTTGTTTTCTGTTAGGTGCTCTCTGTTGTTGGAATTCTTCAAGATGAAGTGGATCCGATGGTGTCAGTGATGAAAGTTGAGAAGGCTCCTTTAGAGTCATATGCAGACATTGGAGGTCTAGAAGCTCAGATTCAGGAGATCAAGGAAGCTGTTGAACTCCCACTAACTCACCCCGAGCTGTATGAAGATATCGGTATTAAACCGCCCAAGGGTGTGATCTTGTATGGTGAACCAGGCACTGGAAAGACATTGCTTGCAAAGGTTTGCCTTTAACCTTTTATTTTTATCTGATTGGGATTTAGATGCTGATGGATTCAGTCTTGACCTAGTTATGGTTCCTTTACATTCTTGAGTATTTCTTGTGCAATCGGATCTTTAACCTGTCTTGCATTTGAATTTTTCTGACGATAAGGAAGTTCCTTTCTGAGGTGAAAACATCCAAATGAGGTTACATTTGTTTGTGATGATAAATAGTTAGACCAGTGGTTCTTTCGAGTGAGATTATATCATAAACAGTCAAGATGTTCTTGATTGAATTGAGGAGCTTTGAATCATCTTGATTCACCAAAATCCAATGTTTCTGTTTTTGGTTTGTCCTACGCATGGAACCTTTGTAGCTTTGACAACACGATTGGAAAAAAGAGCAGGTCTGAACTTTTCATTTTTTTTAAATTGATTCAGGCAGTGGCAAATTCTACATCAGCAACATTCTTACGTGTGGTGGGCAGTGAGCTGATTCAGAAATACTTGGGAGATGGACCGAAGCTTGTGAGGGAGCTTTTCAGGGTAGCTGATGACCTTTCGCCTTCGATTGTCTTCATAGATGAGATCGATGCCGTTGGTACAAAACGGTATTTGTCTAAATGCCCAAACTAGTGTCCTGTTGGAAACAAACTGGACAAGACTGAACCTTTGGTTGAATGAAACAGGTACGATGCTCACTCGGGTGGTGAACGTGAAATCCAGAGGACGATGTTGGAGCTGCTGAACCAGCTTGATGGGTTTGATTCGAGAGGAGATGTAAAGGTCATACTTGCAACGAACAGGATAGAGAGTCTGGACCCGGCATTGCTCCGGCCTGGCCGTATTGACAGGAAGATCGAGTTTCCTCTTCCAGATATCAAAACGAGAAGGCGTATCTTCCAGGTACAAAACTCGGATTATAATGGAAGAAGATTCAAAAGATGGGTTATCTTATTGGGTTTGTGTTATGCCATGTGTGGACATATATAATAGATACACACATCGAAGATGACACTTGCGGAGGATGTGAACCTGGAAGAGTTTGTGATGACAAAGGACGAATTCTCAGGAGCAGACATAAAGGCCATATGCACCGAGGCTGGTCTGCTCGCCCTCAGAGAGCGCCGCATGAAGGTAAACTCGTAACTATATCCGGGTCAAATCCGGACCAAATAACACATAACTATGAATTGATAGTGTTTTTCCAAAAAGGAAAGAAAGAAAGAATGTTGATGGGGTGTGTGGGGTTGTGTAATGGGGGGGGGACAGGTGACGCATGGGGACTTCAAGAAGGCGAAGGAGAAGGTTATGTTCAAGAAGAAGGAAGGTGTTCCCGAAGGCCTTTACATGTAATTCCTCACCAATCAACCTCCCTCAGTCCCTCTCTCTCTCTCTCTCTCTCTCTCTCTCTCTCTCTCTCTCTATCTATCTATCTATCTATCTATTTATGCTCCACTCGACAAGGATTTTTCACTTTCTTCTTTCCCCTTTTTCTCTGCTTAATCTTAAGATGTTGGGTTTCTGTTTCATTCGTACGGAGGCACTTTGAGTTTTGGGGGAAACACAAAAGCGCCTATGAGATGCCTAACACGGCTTAGGCAATCTTAACATGTCTAAATGAAATGCAACGTGTGTTACTACTCTCATCACCAAAAAAGGAAAAATCTTAAACAATTACCGATGTGCTCAGGGGGGAGCAAGCACTGCGAGTCGTTTTTTAAGAGAACAGCCTACCGTTTTCATTTCCTTCTTTATGGGCTTTTTTTTGTTCGTGGGCCTGGGCTCTCACTGTCCGCCCAAAAATTACAGTTGGATACTCGCCCACGCGCAGGAGGACCGCGTGAACGTCACCTCCCTAAAATCTCCGGACTACAGTCCAGGGAAGTCCAGGGAAATCGGCTGTTTTACGCAAAATCGGCAAATCAGGCGCGTGAGGTATGAAGTTTGTTTCATCGCTTCAAACACCTATCTCAACTTATTCGAAAAAATCGAGAATCTGTCAAATATAAATGATCCATTACGTAGTTGTTAAGATTTGATAGTAAAACTCGGAACTTAGGTTATTATTATTATTTTTTTCACATCAGAACTTACATAATTTAAGCCCCCCGGGGACAAAAACACACACACACACACACACAATAATCTCCGGTTCGTAATTAATACAAATTACAAATGCTCCTGTAAGGGGCAAGAAATATTCCAACAAATTAGTAAAGACATTTATTGCGAAGAACTCAGATATATTAAAATATAACTATAATATCTTCTGACACTTAGGGTATGGTATTTATTAACAACCATTGAAAAATATTTGTACCCAACTGTATGTGAGAGTTTAAAAAAATCAATCCGGGAAGTAAAAATGTAAATGGGCATGATTTTTCTAAAGATCAAATACTCTTTACATGCCGTTTCCCAAAGCCCCAAACTTTAATGCTGACTCTGAACTCTGAAGAACAGAGCCGTCATGAAGGCACGTGCAAGCGGATGACTTGCAAAGGGCCCCATATTACATGGAGCTCAAATTATTATTTTTATTTTTCCAAATTTATATTTTACAAAAATCAAATGCTAGATCTTTAATAAAAATAATTTCTCTGTAATAAATGTTTATTAATAAACATCGTTTCGGATTATATTCATAATAAATATAATATTTCTTTTTTTATTTCATTTTTTTGTTAACTGTATCATTTTTTACTATCATTTGTATTAAAATATGATTATTGTTAATTATAAAATTATATTAAGCATTACAAATTATAAATTTGAATTTGATAAAATTATATTAGAACGTATAGTATAGGAACTCGAAAATGTTTGAACGGCTCTTGCAGAAGAGTGATGTTTTGTTATAAGAGTGAAGTGACGGAGCCCTCCAGAAAGCCACATTCTGATAGTTCATCTCCGGATGCGTGCGTGTGAGAGAGCTATTCCCCCCTTCGATTGTTCTTTCCATTGAAACGGGTAAAATAAAGAACCAAAACCTTTTCTTTGCTAAACAAAACAGCTTCCGTCTGCATCAGCAACTCCCCAACTGTAATACAATGGGCCATTGTTGCGATTTACTAAGCCCTAGAGAGAGAGAGAGATCTCTGCTCTAAAAAGCCTCTACCCTATCGACATTTATCGTGTATCCGACTCCTAAATCTACAGAACTATAAATTATACATGGGCGAGGAAGAAGAGGGACAATCAAGAGCAGAAACATTGACAAATGCTATATAAAAAAAAAGGAAGAAGAAGACGAGACCTTAGTTTACATGTTAGCCCCTCTGTCATCTGTCAAAACTGCTCTTTACTTTGGAACAGATCCTTTTTTGGTTCCAAACATCATCAACCTGAAACACCATCTACCTCTTAGTTTAGTTGTGTTCATCCTAAAACCTCCAATAAATTGGTTCATACACTCCACTTTTTTTTTATCCTTTGATATACAGTCACAGATTAACAGAGGTTACCACAAGAACCGGGGATTATTATACACATATCCCAATCTCATTCCTAATTTAGTGTAAGGTAATATATTACTAACCTGCCGGGGGTTCTTCTCGATGATCCTTGGCTTCCTTGCTACTTTGTGGCTCCTTTGAACTCGGCTTCACGGTTCCTTGGTTCTGCAAAGGAACAAAGCATCTTCTCAGCATCACGATTCAAGGAAACTTTCTATGTGAAACCCTAATGATAATCCGTAAAAAAAAATAGTACATTCGACATGGACGCTTGCATAGGATGGAAACCTATGAACTGCTGATATGGATCCAGGAAACCATGTAAGGGCTGCTGCAGCGGCTGGTTTGGATGCACATGCTGTGGGTTCAATGCCGGGTCTGCCTGCTCGTTTTGGACCTGGACTCTAGATGGGTCATAGGCTTGAGTGTTTGGAACAGGGAAGGGAGGGGCTGGAAACGCTGGCCCACCCATATGAGCCATGGTTGGCATGGACGGAGTGGCAGCTAACATGTTTGGAAACGGCATGAATGGCCGATTCATGCCCATCTCCATGTTCATCCCCATCGCCATGTGCTGCATGTACTGCTGCATACCGGGATACATCATTGGCGTCATGCTATATCCCATGGACATCATCTGCGTAACATTGAATCAGGCCTAAATCTTGTCATAAATTGATGCCCTCCATAACGGTGAAATGCTGTTGTAACCATGGCAATGAATGTGGATGGATCATTCATTATGAATTTTATTTTGCAAGAAACGAGATGACTTGCAGACTCTCACAACAGGCATAAGAAATAACCAGTTAGTTCAATTCAACATCCAACACAAAGTACCAGTTTTCTTTCGAAGTAGATCCTAAAAGATTTGAATATTTCTCAATCGAAACTCTATCATAGTTGCCCTGAGAAGATGCATCTGTGAAGATCACATCTAAACCTGTCGTTTAGGAACCAAAACCTTAATTGTAGTGAGAAGGCTGAGTGATAATATGCAAAAGTGGCATCTTTTGTTGAGACAAGGCAAGAATGTTTCCAAGACACACCTGAATTTGCAGCTGAAGCGATTTTATATGCTCGATAGCTTCATCCAGCATTGAAGCTTTATCCGACTGAGAAACCCGAAAACAAATTCAATCAAAAGCATGCCTCCGGAATAACTTTACTTGAACGACAAGTCACTGAAATTCTCAAAGAAAGAAGAAACCTTGTTGCAGCGAGGTATAAGTTCTTGCAGAGTCCTCATCCTCTCGTTGATCCTATCCCTCCGTCTCTGTAACCACCAATCCAAAAGATTCAACCTTTTTCTTAAAAACAAAAAACATATTCAATCCGAATCAAATGGGAGGAAACTACTATACAATACCCGTTCGGAGAGATTATGAACTTCTGCAGCTCGAGACCTTTTCGTGGAAGTCGATCCTCGACCTTGTTTTGTTTCCTGTACGAAACACAGTGTGTTCATTTCGACAAGAAAACCAAAAGGAGCCACTTTTTTACTTTTATTTTTACTGATCCTACTCACGCCACCAGGTGGAGACTTAGCGCTAAAATGCGCCGAATCTTAGGGGGGAGTGTTCACGTTATCCTGCGCAACCATGGTGGTGCACGATAACCGAGTTCGAACCGGTCGAAAACGGAAGAATAACGACTCGGACCTGGACTCACCTCGCTGCGGCACTCGGTTTCGTCAATGTCTTCTCTCCCCTTCCGCTTCCGATCTCCGTCGATATCCGCTGTCTCAGCCTCCGGCGGTGAGAGAGCCTGCACCGCCTTTCCCTTCGAAGATGACGTCCCGCAATTCTCATATGCCGTTACAGCCCCGCTGCCGGATGCGGCGGAGCTAGCGCCGCCGTTAATCCTCCATCCGGTGTCGGCGCCGTCGGCTCCCCGCCCCCCC